AAAAATACAGTTGTCAGAAATATGGTTTATTAAAATAACTTTCAGGCTATCGATAGATGCCAAAATCTAAACAGCACTTTTCCCCAAACAGTTGCATAGACTGCCGTAATCGGCATAAAAAATCAGTTAATTTGTCCAAGAGATAAAAAAATGTTTTATTACAATATTTTGTTAATTATTTTACCAATAGATTCCAAAATCTATTCAGTTTTTTTCCTTAAAAGAACAATGTAAATCGTTGTTAAATTCATTAAAATCGGTTCATTTGTTCAACAGAATAGCAGAAGAAAGTTGGACAAATACTTTTGTGAATATATTTTAAATACATTTTTTTAGAATATTTTTCAAACTACTCTACCCATAAATTCTAAAATCTAATCAGTTGATCTCTTTATAAAGTAGCCTCGATCGTTGTAAATCGCATCAAAATCGGTTGCGAGTTTGCTTAATAGAAACGAGATATTCTAAAAAAAAACGTCGTTGAAAAATGTTTGTTTTTCGAGAATGTCTGCTACATGGTCATATTTTTTTTCTGTTTAAAAAACTGACTCAGATGTCGTAAAGCAGGTCGGAATCAAAGAAAGCATTCGAAAGATAAAAAAAAGTATTTTTAAGCGTATCCAAATTTTTGAATTGTCAAAGCTTAAAACGTATTAGAATTAAATATATTTCTAAGTTTGGAGAGCTTGAAAAAAGCATTAAAAACGATCTTTTGAGTATTGTGAGCTCATGATTTACTGCTTCGTCTGAAGTTTCGGGGATGGAGTGAAGAGTCAACCATCATATACATATTTAATTTTAGATAGAGGCGTTTGAACCTTCTAGATTGGCCTAGGGTGGGTTGAAGGCTGTTAACGACAGATATTGGAAATGCGGTGACAATTTCCGGGACTGGCTGCTTAATGTGCTTTCCGAGGCAAATAGCCAGTGGTTTGACTTAAATTAATTTAAAAAATTGACTGATCGATTCAACCGTGGTCAGGATTGGATCCAGTAGTTCTGTGTGTGTGTATTATTATTATCATATGTATTATACATACGTACATATAATTGTGTATATATATATATTGAATCCATATTCAAGTTGATGACTAATGAAAGTTTTAAAAAATAAATAAAAATTTAACCGGTAAATGAATTTCTGTAGACAATACATCACCAGAAAGGACTCAAAATGCTACTACTGATAATTATTGTAACATATTCCAATTATGGTAGGAGTATAATGTTTCTGATTTTCTTTAATATTTATACTATACGTGCTCCCTCTGTCCTGTCCTTTCAATACAACTTACTACAATTATAACCATAGCTAACTCTTTGTCCAGTTCATAATACAAGGCGTTACTAACTTTAAATGTACAAAATTAGATATGATCTTCAATAGTCCTCTCGTCTTTTTGAATCGTGGCCGCCCCACGGCCGCGTTGAAAATACGTTGCGATCTTATTGTTCGGGGGGTTTGTATAAAGCTTTTGTGTTTATTGTCGATGCTTTACAAACAAACTGTACGTTTAAAACAGAAATGTAAGGACATACTTATGCACATGTCAGAAATTACCGATAGGTCTGTCTGGTGGTTTAGAAACGAAATTCGATTTTTAAATTATCAAGTAATGTTATTAGAGAATTAAATGATTTTTTTTTTTCTATTAGAACTTGTGCTATAGGTAAAAGAAAAAAGAAAGAAAAAACTTTAGGATGGATCATTGATATTCTGCCAATGAATGGAGTTCATGAATAATGAAATGCAAATCGAATTTTCTTTTGGGTCTTTGATACTTTATTGATTAAATTATGGATATTTCATCACTATCCTATTTTTATTTTGTTAGGAAAAATCCCTTGGGACAATTCAAATTGAGATTGGATTCCTAAATAAAAAGTTAATATTTTGTATGATAAAAACAAATACAGAATGGTTTCTTTGACTTGCAATTTCATTTTCATTATAAAACTAATATAATTTAGTTTTTAATCAATGTATCCATGTATCATGATATATTGTACTAGCTTAGATCTGTCTACACAAAACCAAACAATGTGAACATCACAGGTAATGTAAATCTATTAAATAATTACCAAATTATTCATTACTATTGATCGTATTTGACATTAAATCACTACACGTATTACCTATATCTAAAACAATAAATAAACACCTTTATAAAATAATTCGGACTGTTACAAGAACTGTAACAATAACCCTAGCCGAACAGCAGACAATACTGCCAACATTCCTGAAGAAAGTGTCGTCGTCCTACGTATGTAGTTCAAATATAATTGGGTGTCGAGGGAGCAGGGGACTCGCGTTCAGTCGCGCGAACCCGAAAATACGATCTGACGTCTTGTTTTCGAATAGATGGTAATTTCATATTATCGTAGGCGGCGCGGTGTTCGAAGGCGTTGATTGGGCGAGCGCTTTGTTTACGATTCGTTTGCGGTAGTGTTATCGTAATGTTAATGCGTTTATTTTATATACGTCACCCGTCCGCTTTCGAAGTGGGTGAATCAAAATTGGGCAATGATTGTTTTCGATCACGGTCCTGCTCTCTATTCGATTATGTCGGTCTCGATGTCTTGCTCGTTCTCTTTGGAGCTTATTGCCATTTTTCGGATATTCATCCAATTTACTTTCGTTACGTATTAAAAGTACCTTATGTCGGTTTCCAGGAATTAATCTACGCCTATGAAAAAAAAAATCATTGCAATTCGTCCAACAGTTGCGGAAATTAGCCGGACAAACAAGACGACAGATAAGCAATTTTATTTTTATGTATGGGACTATAGGTATATAGAATTTGATAAGAGTTTTTCTTTGACTTTCATTCGTGCAACGTAAAACGTACGACGAATTAAGATGGCGCTGCTTTGTATTAAAAAAAAATAATATCACCCTTATACATACGAAGGAAAGGAAATGTAAAGGAAAACATATATCATAGACTATTAGAATTAGTACAAAGAAACAAAACAATGTCTTGCAATGTCGTACAAAAATTCGAAATCCATTATAGACAGCAATGATAATAAATACTGTAACAGAGTTAGTATAAATAAAAAATAAATAAAATAAAATCCCGATGAAATATTCACCCTCATGAAAGACGGTATAAATGAAATGAATGAAAAGGGAACGGTAAACAAGGGCTGTAACCAAAAATAAATATACGGGGGCGTGGGTAAAGCAACTGGTGCTAGATTTTCGTGGAAATTGTGTATTATTTTTGTAAATATCTTAATATATTAATATGTAACGAAATCGTCCCGAAGACAATAATAATTGTTTAATACGAGCACTTCTCACTCGAAAATACAGTGTCGGGTGTACGATGATATACGTACTCAAATTTAATTTCACTTATAAAAATCACACACACACTTTTGTAACGAAATGATGGAATATACAAAAGCGATTAATTTTACAAAATCCGTCACATAACTCATTGTGCCATGACGGTTATCGCTTCCTGTGCGCGTAACCGCACGCCTAGCGACGGGAACATTTCACGTTTTACAGTCCATCGTATTAAATAGATTAGGCGATGTGAAAAATCATCAGGGAACAGACGGCCACACGCGCCGCCCGCGCAGCCATTTATTCCTTCAGAAGGGTTTTTTATTAGATTTTGACTTGAATACTTATTTAAGCACCCACCGAAATGGCCAAATATATTATTTTTGTTTGATAGCTCTAATCCAAATATATAGTCTTCATATTTTATGGTATTTCTATGAATTATATCCTTTATCATCCGATTGGTGGAAAGTAGCCTTGTTAGTCGATTGATAAAGATTCGGGCGCATTTTATGTGTTCAATCGTTCTTGAAAAATATTATTTATCTTGTGCAACACTATTTACTCTGATAACTTGCCAGACATCTTATGAAAATATGATTGCACTTACAATCACCTTACATAAGTCACTTTTAGGAGAAGTAATACCTTTACCTTATAATATACCGCATAACGTTAGAATTTTCGGAAAGAGAATACGAATGATTTACAACAAAGTGTTTCGTGCATATTTCAAGAATATTTATTACATTTTAAGTACAAAGGAAATACGTAAGCATAAATTTATTATTCACAGTACTTATAGCATCAGTTTCTCGTAACTTATTTTTCTTTTGTTGCTGAAATGGGTATGGTAATTTTTATTACAATATATATATAAACTTGCATAACTTTAATTGTAAAATAATAAATTTATGTAATAAAGTTTTATAACTATAAATAAGAAATATCTTTCAATGTCTGAATAATTTTAGGGAGCTTTGTTCTCTTTTTCTGTTATTTAATTGATAAAACATATAAAAATTTTTGGAAATCGGTGATAAGTATTTATAAAAACAATGGTCATTATGCTTATCGGTGATCGCACGACTCACAACGCACAACACGTGAAAGTTCTTTACTCTCGATGTGGGGCCATACCTCAACTCCGCCACATAAAATCGTTGTAATACTCTAAGCTAGACATTAAATCCATATTATTATTAAGGTTAAAATAAAAAGAGACTTTAAACTATAAGATTACTTTATTTTCTAATTAATTGACTTTAGATTCCTCAACAAAAAACTTAATTGAAAAGTAATATTGAATGCCGTCTGCTGGTCCGTGCGTCGGTGAGTCTTCGCGTTTTAGAGTAATGTAAGCTATAGATTAAGATAAATTGAATTAAATAAGTACACATTTATCCTTATCCCTTTTGATTTTCGTTATTGAACTCACAAGCGTTTAAAAGTTATCAATGACAGTCAATCGAGTTCTCGACTTGTCGTCATTATTTTCGCCTCTTTCATATCACATGCATATGCATGTACTTTTTTATAAGTTTTCTCACATATATTTTTGGAATGAAATGCCTTATCGCGTGTCACACTCAGCCGCTCGGCGGATGGGAGATACACGAAAAAAAATGTTACCGCAACGAAAAATGCTAACAGCTGTTGTTTTAGTTAACATTTTTATTAATTAAATTTGTTTGCCAAAGTACATACCACGCTGAATACACTTTTCGTCCGATCACCGAGGTTAAGCAGCATCGGGCGCGGTCAATACTTGGATGGGTGACCGTCTAAGAACACCGCGTGCTGTTGGCTTTTGTTGGTGTTGCATTCTTTACATGGTAATTTATAATAAAGTATTAATTACGTATTTTATTACCATTCCTGCATTATATTTGATGCATTTTTCGTTACATTACTATTTTAATCTTCTGTTATCCTTTCTCTAACTCATTTTTCTCAGAAGTTCTATTTTCCTACCTGCTAGACTTTTTGCCTCATACGTATGTACAGTGATTTTTAAAGGAATAAAAAAAAAGATTAACCACAAGAAAATTTTACTACTGTACATTGTTTGTAGACACTAATAAGGGCTCACTTTACCATATATTTTACTATCTTTTTCCAATCAATAAAAGAAACGAGAAGGAACGTCGCTATTACTTTTAGGAGCCAAAAAATTCCCACAGTCGTGTTACCCGCAAGAACATTCAGCGATGGCTGATTACTCAGGGCATCGTCTTCATTCTTTGCCCCATTTCAGATCACGTACAGTTTGTTTCTTGCGCCGTTCTGTACCGTGTCAAGTATGTCGGCACCTCGTGCCCGCTGGACTTTTAGCCCCGCGCTACCCTAGTCCCATGAAATGTTATAATAACAACAGGATCTTTGTCTGTACCGATAGCTTTGTAACATTCACTTATAAACTTTTATAATCCGATAATAGCTCGTAGCAAGTGTACTCAGATACTCTCATAAAATGCTACTTGAAGAACAACAATTCTTTCAATGCTATTTATTAGTGTAGCAATTTGGTCTCGTAAACCTATGTAACTCCCATAAGACTAAGTTATAAAAATACATATTTCTGTAGTCTGTTATGGTTTCTAATACGCTATTATAAGTAAAACAGTTTGTAATAACGCTTGCAAAATTTTTATTTGTATACAAATACAATTCTTATATAAAAGAAATTTATCATTCTACCGTTGTACCATATCTTAACAACGATCTTGTTATTTCCAATTGTGGGACTCTAAACCGTAAAGCCTAGCATGCTGATTCAAAACGGGTACATGTGTACTAGCAACCCGTGTCACTAATATGGTTGGAAGGTCAACAAACGATTGTTCAACGTGTTTTGGGTGATACGACGGGAGCGATTTTATTTTTACTTAAAAATACATTGATCAATGCATCCATCGTCAGGATTCCAAAGCGATTGTACCTTTTGGTTCGAAGCTAAAATTCTTAACCACTAAGCCACTTATTATAATTCACACACAGAAAATATTTGTAAAACTTTGATTTTCGTAATGTGTTCTTGTAAAGTTTCCCAGTTGGAAGTACGTTTGGTTTTCGCTTCCACATTATAAAGCGTTGATCTGTTAATTTGTCCCTTTCTGGCACGTATTTGGCTCCTCAAAATTTTGTATCGTCAAACAAATGTACAAATAATCACGACAATCGTAACATATACGCAAAATAACCAATATCCAGAGAATTTTCATATTTACAATAACGATTCATTACTAACGAAAATCATTGGTGAAAGAAAATCAGTCTTCGACCGGATCGTTATCCGATATGACTTTCATCTTTGTTTTTTTGAAAGATCAAATGCATCTTATTTATGACAAAGTTGAATCAGAATAAATTTTTCTGTCTCCTAGTATAAAAAAAAAACAAACCGGGGAAGCGGATTAAAGAATTGCGCACCGGAATTTTAGAACAATAGAAATCTACAGTCAATTAGCATTTCAAACTTGTCAATAACGAACCATTTAACAACTTGAAGTTAGAATAACAATTGCTTATTTATTTAGATCGTTATGAACAAAACACAGCATATTGTGTATTTATATATTTTTAAGGAATTAATATTTCAGTGGTAGGATACTCGATTCGGTCTTGCTCGGTCGATTTATTTTTGACCACATATCGATATATTTTTTCAGTTAAATACGTTTGTTTATTCAACAATGCATGTACTCTGTTAACCATTGGTTAAGAGATTACGTATATTCGATGCTCAAAAAGAAATATTGCGAGGAAACCCATTCTTCGAGGGTATAGACAAAAATTACTCTTGCTCTACATGAAATCCGTAAAACTTACTGCGGTATGCTCGCAACCTGTTATAGCGGTTTCAATTAACTATGAAATGTGGTTGTGCATTAAGGGTGCCGCAACTGGCTACTCCACGTCGGGTACAAAGTCGTGAAGTTACATATTTACGTACTTGATGCTCCGTCGCCCAAGGAAATTGTCTTCAAGGTTATCATATTTAAATTGCCAATGTTTAGTATTCAGGGAAAGGAATTTAGGCGGCGCGGACGTGGGTCACTACGTGGTAAATATTTGGGCTTTAGCGGTAAAACTAATTTGATGGATAGTTTGGGTCGAAATTACATTTAGCTTCTACTTGAAAATGTAAATATGTTGATATAGTCCGAGATTAGAAATTAGATTTTCTTGCTGACTGCGTTAAAAAATAGACGTATCTTCTACAAAACGGTATTAATTACGATTAAGTAAAAGTTAATATTCATTTTTTCATTTCTCTACACGACGTTAGAAAGCTTTCATTAATATGGGGTATACATATTCCAATATATGTATTTCGGTGAGCGATCATTCTCGCGATATCAATTTCACGCTTCGCAAACTTTTAGTGCTATTTGTTGACGCTCACGGGTCTAGAATAACAACATCATTATGTGCGACCTATAGAGGCTCCGGCTAAAATTTTTAGTTTGGTAATTTTGAATAGTTGCATTAGAAGAGTTTGTTCCATAGAGTTTATAGACTCGAATTGTTAGTTCTATATTCACAAATGGCGTTATAAAATATTTTATTCAAAATTTTACCAGTTATTTGATCATATACATAAGGGGTTAAAAAATGCATCTAGTTCAAAACTAAGCAAATACACGGGAGTTATATACATTGTAATCGCCGAGTCGCTGTGTTGGTTTTTTGCATACAGTTCAGATTTTCAGTGGTATTTAAATCCACCTAGCGCACCACATTTCGGAGGCAGCTGGGAGTAGAATATTAAAAGTATACAATCTCATGTATTTAAAGTAATCGGAAATGAAATATTGACTTATGAGGAATTCTAAACGGTTTTGGCACAGATAGAGGCAATTTAAATACGCGTCCTTTATGCAGCATGTGGACTAACGCTAGCGATCCGTTTCCGTTAACGCGTGCGCATTTTTTAACTTTGACACCTTAAAACACCTACCCACACCAAAAATCAATGGAGAACGTCTATATCTGCTACCTAGATAAAAGTCGTTAGGTTAGGTTAAATAAAATATTTCAATCTTTTTGGACTCGATGGAAAAATGAATATATTACAGCATTACAAGTCCGCAAAAAGTGGAATACTGTCTCTAATTCTATTAGGGTCGGTACTCTTGTACTTATAAATAGCAAAAACACCCCTCCTCTACATTAGCCCTTAGGCAAGGTAGAGAAGGTATTTCCTGCCAAAGATGGCACAGTGCGAGTCGTTCATCTCAGAACCGCGAAAGGCCATTTTAAGCGCCCAGCTATGAAATTATGCCCTTTACCATTGCAATAGCTTTTTATATTTTTAATTCATTTACTCCGTTGTGCAATATATCGCTAATACATATTTATATATAATCTATTGTTAGTTTAACACCACTTAGTTTCCGCTTTATGTCAACTGAATTTGCGAAGGTAACCCTTCAACCCCGCGGGAGAATGTATGCACCAAGTCATTGTGCTTATTTCTTGCACACAGTTTAGATTTCCAGTGTTCATTCTTTCTCATGTTACCCTCCGCACCTAACTTGGATATCGTGACTTGAGCGATGATGGTCAAGCGTGCCGGACACAGATACGTAATTTAAATCTACACGCGTATAAATATCCCAAGTCACAGGTGAGGACCCGGAAGGAGTTGAGGCGTTGCTCTACTCCGCGGCGTACGGGCACGTGCGATTTTATTCCTCAGGACGATCTCCTGAATTGTGCTCCATAATCCTTCCAAATAATCTAATCTGGATTGTGTTTTGAATTCGCCGGTGTACTTGACCGCATATACAGTCCACTTAAATAACACAGGCCTACAAAAAAAAAATTTTTCTTTGATGCAGCTCTGTCTGTGCCTATGGTAGATAAAGTAGGTAATGTAAAATATATTGTCATACGTTATTTTTACTCTTCAGCTCTAGTTTATCTTCTACCCTCATTTTTTATCCCCCGGTCTTTTTCGTCATTATTACAATAACATCGATAAAGTTTACGTTACTATATCATCATGGCTAGTACGTCCGGATGTCGTGTTAACAATCCTGATACATTTTATTATGTTTGTGGTGAATACATCCTAAAAGATCAGCATAAATCGATAACAGACTCTGTGAATCGTCTGTATTTTGCTTACTTCGGTATTGAAATTCGACACCAAGATAAAGTGTGGGCGCCTCATAGTGTATGTAAACAATTTCTTGATGTTTAATACCAATAAAATATATTTTTTTTCTGAAAACTGTATTTGTTATATCTCGGGAACTAGAGCTGATAGAAAAAAAAAACGGTAACATTTTTGATATCACCATGTAAGACATACTTTAAATCAGGTCCAAAATCCCGGCACCAAAATCATTGTAGGCCTGTATAATATATTCGCAAAAAAGTGAGTGGCGAACATCACAATTCCTCACTCGCCCTTTCGCCCTTGCGAGACAAATTGTTTGCCACTGCACAATTATTAGAAATCTCTACATTATTTTCAAATCTTCTAGACCGAAATGAGATTATGATATGACAAAAACACATATTACGAAGTAAACATAATAAGCAACAAAGTTGCTGCAACGAAAAAAAATTGGAGCTTTATTTTGTAACAAAGCTTATGAACAGCGCTCTAAGTCTTTGCTCTAAGCAAACACTTGAATATATCTTTAGCACGAGTCCCCCGTTTAATCTAAAGGGATAAAGCCTCCTTTAACGTAAGGAAACCTTTTTACATAACAAAAAATTGTACTTATCTATCTACTCCGAGATATTAAATTGTCTGCATCGTTCGACTGAGATATGATAATCGGTGTGGG